AGAGGAAAAGAACGGAAGGAGGGAGGAAGAGGGGGTAAGGAAGGAACACGGGGGAGAGAAGGGAGGAAGGCAGAAGGGAAGGAGAAAGGAAGGAAGAGGGGGAGGGAAGATAGTGTGGGGAGAGAAGGAAGGAAGGAAAGAAAGAAAGAAAGGTGCGGGGAAAAGAGACGGGAGCATTTACAAAGAAAGGAATGTAGAGACCGAGTGAGCGAAGGAATGAATGAGCGGAGCCATGGAGGGAGGGAGGAAGCACCGCGGGTGAAACAGGCAGAGAGAGAAAGAACAACAACAACAAAAAAAAAAAAAAAAACAGAAAAAGAAGGTGGATCCTTCTTTTTTGGGTGGGTCGGGGGGGTCTTCTTCCTCTTTTCCGGTAAGACAGGAAGGCTTCAAGGGAGACTTCTGCCTTCCCTCCCTCCCCCCCCCCCTAACCCCATACTCCCCCCCCCCCCCCCCCCCCCCCCATACCCCCCCCCCCCCCCCCCCGCGCCCCCGCCAGGAGACGGCACGTGGCCTGGTGCAAAATAATAATAATAATAATCGGGGAAATCGGAGCTATCTGGTGGAGCATGTTAATGGGGGGTGGATGGGTGGGTGAAATGGAAGGAAACAGCACCATTGTTCGCGAGGGGCCGCCCCTCTTTGTTGGAGGGAGGGTGAATTTAGAAATCTGGGAAACAATGCCCCCCCTTTTTTTGTAGGGTACTTTTAAAGAAGCCATTGCCTTTGGAAATAATTCGAGACACGGGGAAAAAGAAGAGAAGACAGGGTGGGGTTGGTTTTATTTGTGGGGAGGGGGTTTCATCTGGCAAGTGCCAGAGATCCACCAAAGCCTTTATTTGCACCCCCATTGTGCTGTCAGATTGTGTGTGTGTGTGTGTGTGACACATTGACCAACGTGCCTACCGTCCCTGTCCTATTGTTTCTCTTATTCTTTTATTTTTCTTATATGTACCCATTTCATGTATTCACAACTATGTATACACTTATGCTTATTATCTTGTAAACAATTGGCAAATCAAATCAAATAAAAAATCAAATAAAGTTCCCAGGAAGCCCTGCCATCTCTTAAAGATTTCTTGCTGATCAAAGCATGACACTCACTTTTTTAGACAGGGCAGATTGACACCGATTTGCAAAAACAAAGTGACACCTTTAGGAAGTGTTTTCCCCACACACACACACACACACCTCCACCCCCCTTGTAGTTCTTCAAATATTTGAAAATATGCTTTTCTTGGAAATCAGGGCCAAGCGTTTTTCTTACCCTCCGGGATAATTAAAACACAACCAAAAGGGGGAAAAAAAATATTTGGAGCATATAATTTTCTTGCCAGAGAGACCCAGCTCTTTTATTTCTTGCTTTAACTGCATTATGGGCACTCCTGGCATCCTTCAGACGTTTTGCAGAGGCAGTTTGGTCTAGTGTGGTTTAAGGCGCCCGACTAGGAGGCGGTGAGTTCTAGTCTCACCTTAGGCATGTAAAGGCAGCTTTTCCTTTTTTTACCTAAGCCAGTATTTCTCAACCCTGGCTGCTTGGAAGATGGGTGGACTTCAACTCCCAGAATTCCCCAGCCAGCATGCTTTTAAGAGGTATGAACTTCAATTCCCTTACTGGCTGGAGAATTCTGGGAGCTGAAGTCTAATCAATTTAAAGCAGAGTCTCTGGTGAATACTGGGAGTTGAAACCCATATATCTTAAAGCAAGGGTCTTCAAACTTGGCAAGTTTAAGACTTGTGAACTTCAACTCCCAGAATTCCTGAGCTAACATGACTGGAGGAGGAATTCTGGGAATTGAAGTCCACAAGTCTTAAAGCTGTCAAGTTTGAAGACCTCTGTCTTAAAGCATACTGGCTAGGGAATTCTGGGAGTTGGTCCACATATCTTAAAGGATACTGGCTAGGGAATTCTGGGAGTTGAAGTCTACCCATCTCCAAGCAGCCAGGGTCTAAGTTATTTATTTTATTTATTTATTTGATTTGTCAATCACTTACAAGATAATAGGTATAAGTATAAACATAGTTATGAATACATGAAATGGATACATATAAGAAAAATAAAAAGAAACAATAAGACAGGGATGGTAGGCACATTGGTACGCTTATGCACGCCCCCTACAGACCTCTTAGGAAAGGGGTGAGGTCAATAGTAGACAGTCTAAGGTTAAAGTTTTTGGGGTTTGGGGAAGAAACCACAGAGTCAAGTAGAGTATTCCAGACATTGACCACTTTTTTGCTGAAGTTGTATTTCCTGCATCATATGAATCATCCTCTGTAATCTTGTGGCTTGTATGTTATTTGTCTTCTGGTGCCGTCTTGGGCATTGAACAAGATTAAATCTGGCACCTTTTCCAATTGCAACTTGTCATCTCATCTCATCCCAACCCTATTTTGATTTGCATCTATTTAATTATTTCCTGCAATGCCTGTGTTCCTGCAATCCAGCTGACTCTTAAGAGACCAAATTCCACAAGGAAAAAGAGAAGCTGCTTTGCTTTACATTTTGTGGTCTTCCCAGTTTAACTTTAGTGAAAATGAACCGATCGAGTTTGCAGCTCCAGGGTGTGAATATGGCCTGTTTCGGCCTATTGGGGTTAACATTAACCACCGTTTAGTGGCTAAAATTATTGTAGAGGTAGTCCTCGATCTACAACCACAATTGAGCCCAAAATTTCTGTTGTTAACCAGTGAGACATATCAGGGCTCCAACAAATCCACCCCCATTCAAATCATAAGTCTCTAGCCCCATCTCTCAGAGTAAAGACTTATTATAGATTTATTAGGAGTGACCTTGTCGGCGTTAACTGGGTGCAGCCGACTCTAAGACACACCATTCATTTTCCCCTTGACCCTGGTCTTCCCCCCACCCCCTGGATGTATGTTCTCCAATGGGACACATCTATAGCCAAGAGTCATCAATCATGCTCTCCAGTAATAATCTTGCGCGCCAACAGCTTCGGCTGCCAAGGTGAGGCATTTAAGGAATGCACTGCTTTCCCCCACTCTCTTTCTGCTGGCAACTAAAAAGGAGTATTTTTTAGTTGACAAGACTAGTTAAGTGAGTTTTGCCCCATTTTACGTCTTTTCCTGCCACGGTTGTTAAGTGAGTAACTAAGTTGGTAACCTAGTTGTTAAGTGAATCTGGTTTCCCCATTGACTTTGCTTGTTAGAAGGTCGCAAAAGGGCATCACGTGACCCCGGGACACGGCAATGGTCATAAATATGAACCAGTTGCCAATCCTCTGAATTTAGATCACGTGACCATGGGGATGCTGCCAAGGTCATAATTATTAAAAATGACCATGTCAATTTTTTTTGCAGTGCTGTTGTAACTTTGAATGGTCACTAAACAAACTGTTGTAAGGTGAGGACCAACTGTACCACTGTTTTCTTTTTTGCATTTCATCTTTTCTCAACCCGCCATCCGATACTTTGCAAAGAAAAGCAAGGCAAAATTAAAGCAACCAGGGATATCAACACAAGATCTTGGAGAAATTATGTGCTGGATTAGTGTGTGAGAGAGTTGAGAGCTGTTTGGAAACTGAAACAGTATTTGCTGTGTGAGCAAGAAGGAGACAACAAGGAGCCTGGGCGTGGCTTAGCACAACTGTTCTGTACTAAAGCTGCTTGGTGCTGTGAAATTAAAACTGAATCTCCTCTCCTCTGCTTGTGTTTTGCATTTGGAACAGATTTCTTTTCAGGTGGGGAGGGGGAGTAGAACTCCTTCGCATCAGAGCGTGTTAATAATAACAATATAGGAAATACTGATAGCTCTGGTGGTCATTTCGAAAAATCCTTTCTTAGTGAGCCCCTAGAAGCCAAGAGGAACATACGTGCCAAATTTCAAGTTTGTCACGTCATAGTAGTGGTGCTTTTAAAGTTGTAGCAACGTTTCAGCAGAATCTCATCTGCCATCATCAGGCTTCTGTATTGTGTCCGTCTGTGAGTCAGACTTTTAGTATATATATATATAAAGTTATTATGGTAGAACCTTACTTTTTGGGCGGGGGGGATTTCGAAGTGATGTATATAAATGTTCCCACAGCTTATTTTCCAAACCGAAACAATCTTGTCAGGCAGGTTGGGTTGAAAGAGAGGGACTGGTCTCAAGTCACCTAGCCAGCTTTCATGCCTTAGGGAGGCCTTAAAATTCACAGGGTCCCAGTTTTTAACCCAGCTCCTTAACTACTACATCCAAAAGGCTCTTCAGTGGATCCTGCTCCAAACAGGGGGTTGGACTCGATGACCTCCATGGTCCCTTCCAACTCTATGATATTATGATTCTATCTAGAGCATCCAGCTGGGGAAAGCTACAAAAAAGAGATCTGTAGCGTCATCATATTGTTTTTAATGTTTTATACTTTAATTGGTTCTGTTTTATAGTTTCTGATATGATTTTATATTACATAATCTTTGATTGGAAGAGTTGACTGAAAGATGGACAGCTATCCAGGAAGTCCTCAACTTGCTAACACAATGGAGCTCAAACTTTTTGTTGCTAAATGAGATATTTATTAAGTGAGCTTTCCTCTGTTTTACGTCCTTTCTTGCCACAGTTGTTGTGAATCACAGCAGTTGTTAATTAAGTAACATGGTTGTTAAGTGAATCTGGCTTTTGATCATGTGACCTTGGGGGATGTTTTAATGGTCATAAGCATGAAAAATGGTCATAGGTCACTTTTTTCAGTGCTGTTATAACTTTGGTCGCTAAGCAAATTGTTGTAAGTTGAGGACTACCTGTATAAGTGCTATTTTTGAATAAATAAGATGCCTATTTTCTACATAGATGTAATACATTAATTCGGTCCTCCAGTCTCTAAAATTGGAAGAGCTGAATTGGTCATAAATGTGACTTCAATAGGATGCACAGATTAAGAAGAATTCTCTACAGCTTCTTGTGGCATAGCAAAGATGGTGTTAAAACAG